TATATATATATATATACATCAGTACACAAGGTCAGATCAAACTATGGTGAGATTTTTGTTTGGGCTCTCCTGTAAATTTGGTGAAATGTCACTTGCGCCTTTCTGGTTCTCACCCCTCGATATATTTTTACCATTACAGGACCTGCTTCCAACAATCCCTCTCCAGTGTCCCATATGCAGTCTGTGTCAGAGAGGCCTGTCCCACGCGGTGCAGGTCTACTGCCCTCTTGCGGCGTCTCCTTACCACAGAACCATCAATGTATTTGCCTGCACCAATCCACAGTGCAATGGCAAATCAGAGAGGTAACAGCTTGACATTTTAGATTAAGGCATTATTTACATTTCAAATGTGTTCTGTTTCCATAACGTTTCATTTTCGGACAATCTGACCATGTCGCCTGTATACATACATACCTAGCTGGATTGTCCTGCGCTCTCAGTGCTTGGAGGATGACATCAAAGCGAGACAAGACAACAAAACCACAGCATGTACAGAGTCTGCAATGTCCAGGACAGACTGGTGTGATGAAGCTGATGACTGGGGGATGGATGATGAAGAGCAAGAGAAAGTGGCTGAACGCGACGTACAAATGCCAAATGACAGTATCGGTGAAGGAAATGATGTCAGCAGCAGGCTTCAGGACCTGTGCATTGATGGAGATCATCAAAGTGCCCTCCAACCCACCGATGTGCCCCTTTTCCAGCCGTTCTACATGAGCGTTATGGAGGAAACCGACTTGGATGGATTTCATGATACGGATCATGAAAACGAACTGCTTAGAGCATATGAGGAGAGGGAGGGAGTGCTTGTCGCGGAGATTCAGAGGTGAGGATTGATTCTACAACAGAAACTACAGATGAATGCTTCACTACATGGATACATGTATGTGTAAATTGTCTATTAGTCACCTCAGTTTCTGTACTTTTTTCAGTTGTGAAAGTGGGGGAGCCACTCCGGAGGAATACGAGAAGGCCACAGCCAAGCATGGAGATGAAGTGTTCATCAGTTTCATGAAGAAAATCTCTCTTTGTCCTGAACAAGTGTTACGGTGATTGAATATGTTTACACTGATGTTCAGTCAAATGCTCCAGACTGCAACTAAAATGGTCCATTGAATTACAAATTTGCTAGAATCATTTAAAATGTCCAGTTTATGAAAAGGTTGTGTTGATATGCATTTTCATCAGAATTCATCTTGTTGTTTATACATGCATGATAGTGCAGGGTTATTATCGTTAACTAATTTATTTGAAATAAAATAAGCATTAACTGAAATGAAATAGTTCAGCTAGTTGCCAAACTAGCTAGAAATGACAAAATCGCACAATAAAAAAAATTGCAAATGAAAAGAATATATAAAAATCGAATTTAAAATAATAACAAAAAGATATGTATTTCTAGATATATATGAATTTAAAATATTCACATTCAAAATATTCATAGAAAATAATGTAATAGTTTAAAATAATAAATATAGATGAGTTTAAAATCATAACGAAAACCACAAGAGTGTATCAGTGATGCTAAGACAACACTGGCAGTGTTTACTACAGCAGCAATGAACACGGCACGAGCCGAGTTGTCTGATTCACCAACAAATGACGCTTACGAACTGGTCCTTTTTTTAAGGAGTCAGTTAAAAAGATTCACCAAACAGCCTCAAAGTCATTTATGAGTCAGCTTTTTGAATCAAACTACCTCTGTTAAAGGGGACATCGGATTAAATTTTCACTTTTTTTTGTTGCATTTAGTTAGGTTTCTGGCGTGTCTGGCAGCTCAGAAAAGCTGAAAAGAAAACCCGCAGCCAGTTTGTTATGGGTTGAGTCTGAAACTGTCATCCAGCGAGCTGTTTCAATTTACAGTCGGGTTCTACGTAGATAGCTACCTATTTGAATAAGACCACTTCCGAGCCGTATACTGATATATACATGTCTTGTGTCCATGCCCCACTGAAGAGAAGGGCGGGGTGAGCAGGAGCTCATTATCATTTAAAGAGACATGCAC